TCCAACTTTCTGAGTATGATCCAGTTGATTTTGAGATCAACCTCCAAGGTGTACAAGGCGGTTTTGATTATTATGTTTATTCAGTAAGTGTATGATAAATTAATTTGTTAAATATTAAGCTTATAATTTGTAATTTAATATATTGTATACTACAATAGAATTCAGTTGATGGTAGTTTAGACTTGCCATGCGAGAGTTCAAATTTATATGAAATTTGGGATCCATGGAGTAATAAAGAGACTGGAGGTTTACGATATGGAGATTGGAGTTTGAAATTTGGCTCAATACATGGTGCTAGAACTCTGTCTACATTTGGAAATGATACCCACGCTCAGTTATTTGGTCAATTAGTATTTTTAGGTCGTTCAGTAATAATACATGGCATGCCTTCTAAAAAAAGGTAGATAAAACGTCATAGTTAAATAAATTTGTGTTTAATAATATCATTGGTTGTGTATGATTTTCATATCTTGTTTGTATAATGTTAATAGATTGGTGTGTTCTACAATAGAAAGAGGATATGCACCTTCAGAAGCTCGAGAAATCAGAGCGATGGCTTCATTTCATAATCCTAATGGTTTTCTTTATGGTTATATACGAATGGTCTGTATTTAATTGATATCTCATAATGCAACTATGAACATTTTTTTCTGTACATTTTAGACTCAACTAGTTTATAATGACGGAAGTAAAAGTGATACCGTAATTGAAGTTAATTTACATTACCCAGGTTTATATAATAGAAATATGGTAAATTTTGAGTTACATTCATTTAAATTTGACTGTTGTATAATTAATATAATTTAAMTTTAGACTAAAAGTCATAAATGGGCAATTTATGTTAACCCAGTTGGTATTGATGCTACTGTTAAAGATCATGGAACTCGGTGCACTGCAGCTGGGTATCTTTGGAACCCATACTACACACAACTTGCTGATCCATTGAATGTAAAGTTTATGTAGACAATTTATTTTAAGACTGTTGTAAATGTAAAAAGTTCCACTTTTTAACTGATTGTATTAATTTAACTATAAATAAATAATTTCATATGTATTAGGTAAAGCTGTATGAAGATGAATGTGGGCCCGATCAACCTTTGCGGTGTTATGTTGGAGATATATCTGGTCGTTTGGGTAATATTGATGTTGGTTCACATTCAATGGTATTTTCTGATCCAAATTTACCTTTAGGTAATAGTTTTCAATATATGCATACTCAAGTAAAAAGTTTTTTTAAATTAATATACAATTTTAGAAGGAGACATTTCAGCAATTGGTAGATCGATTATCGTATTTTCAAAAAATGGTTATGAAAAATTAGGATGTGCCAACATTGAGTATGATAAAGACATCATTAAATATGTGAATGTGAGAAAAACTACTAAGTACGAGACGACACATTTTTTTGAAGCTGTGAGGAATGCAATGGGAGTTCCTGATTGGATGATAACTGTAGATAGTAGAAAAACAAAAATATTACATAATGGCGCATGTATTCAATATTTGGTCCATTTTAAAGGTATATTTTGTTAAAAATTATTCTTGAGTATCATAATAGTCTAATAATTATCAACATTACAAGATTCAATAGAAGTTATGTTATTCATAACTTTTCTCGTTAATAATTACTTTAAAGAAATATAAGTTTTAGCAAGGTTATTAATTTATTTGTTTTAATTAGGTGCCCTTGCTAATGAATTGGAATCTGATTTTAGTAAACTATTAGCAATTGGACAATTGCCTGCTCAAACACTAAAAATAAGTGGTTATTATCCTACTAATGTTAAATTAAAAATTCCATATCAAGGATGTCCTGTGTATAACAAAAAATTAGCTTCAAGTAAATTCGATAGTCTTCATGATTCAATTTTGATATATTATGATTGTTGAATGATTGATTTTTTGTTTAAGGTATATCATCTGCAGGAATGTGGATCACAAGCAATTGTTTAGTTATAACTGCATTAATTACATTTGACATAATTTTTTATATGGTCGATTCCTAAACTCAAGTTAACTATTTTTATACAATTCTTTTTTTTTATTTATTATTATTGACTATTGATTATTATTTATGTAAAATTTATTTCTATTATGGTATGGTACATCGGGATACATAATAAGTATATAATGTACCATACGACCATAGTCTATAAATACAATTTTATATGTTATATTTAAAAATTTTAAATATCTTAAATAAATTCCTTTTATCTGGATGGAAAGTATTTTTAATTTGATCTTATCTATATATTCACAAAAGGATTAATTAACTAATGAATAAATTGACCCTATAACATGTAGCTAATAAAAACAAACATTTGTTTCTATCACCACTTATTGGAACAGTAAAAGTTTTCGATTTTAAACTTTGAGTGTGGTTTCCCAAAGGAAATTGAATTTAGTTGGTACTTCAGTATTCAAAAGTAAAAATTACTAGTAACTCAAAATAATTGAAAAAAAATCAAGGAATTTGATGTGAAGTGTACCTATGTTATCTTTTAGCTTCTGAGCAGATCGATGAAGGTATTAATTATACAATAATGTATTTTTTTTTGATTCTGGGTACATGGTAAGTAGTTGAAATAATGCTTCATTCATTAATTTCAGTATCTTTTCTAGAAGGAAACTAAATTACCTGGTGCATTTGAGCGGTCGAAATTGAAAATTCTCAGTAGTTTTTGAAAGCACCAAGGAAAAAAAATAAAGAAAAACGAAAATATTTATGAAATTCAGTTTTCAACTCACATTTATATCAGCTTTTTTTTGCATGGTGTAATTATAAAATATTTTTATTTTTTTTTGAGCTATTTAATTTTCAATTTTTTCAATTTTTTTTTTTAAATACTTATTCATGAAAAAATTCTTGATATGGTCAAAAAGCTTGAAAATTTAATTATAAGTTGATATAATAAAATTTTAAGACATATGGATGATCTTTTTTAAGCATTCAACTTCTATGATTAAAATGTTGAAAATATTAATCAAAATCATGAAATTGTACATATTAATTTTTTGTTAAGTATTTATCAAATGTACAATATTTAAAATAAGAATTTAAAAATTAAAAATCATAAGAAATACACAAAAAAATGTTTAGAATGAGGTTTTTGTAAATATATTTTTAAATGACGTAAAATATTTTCAATTAATTTGAAAAAATAGTTAAAATGCATCATTACCATCAAATGATTTTAAAAAATGACATACAAATTAATATTTGGTCTAAATAAAAAATTTCACACAAATATAATACTAAGATCTTTATCTTGCTTAAAAAAAATATTCTTTCTTTTCGATTTTACTTTTTCTTGTTTCTTAATAAATTATTTTACTAATTTGACTGTAAAAATTGAAGGAAGTTAAATTTGATACTCGGAAATTAATTATTGAATTAGAAAGGTTCTTTTAGTATTAAATGTGTTATATACAATTTAACATTAAGTATGCGAATAATATACTTTGATATGTAGTACTGTCCTTATATATATACAATTACAGCTTAGACTAAACCGTTTAAGATATATTTTTATACTTTTTAGATACGAAAGATTTTCAAATTAAAATTAAGATTAACCTTCTGTACTATGTACTACCAAGCTGATTAAATATACAAATATATATTATGTTATCAGCGGTACCATAGAAGAAAGATAATGAGCGGTACTACCAATACCAATGTCTAATAGTAAAATAATATTATTGAATAAAGGCTGACGGACATTTTTCGCTCAGAAATCAGAATCGTTTTTTATATACTACATGGTTTTCTATTTTTATATCAAAGAATTAAAATTTAACATTACTATTAAAGTGATTTCTCTAGGTATCCAATTTACAGCAGATCGTTAACTGCACCGCTAGGCAGTGGCGCCGAACCCTATGTTAAGGTTGGGCCATGGTTCGACATATTTTGAAAATTTAAGATAGGGCCGCTTCATATTGACCATTTTCCTCTCCTCTCCACGGTATGCCATTTTTTCCGATATTAAGATGTTAGGCCTCTTGAAATATTTTTTGCCCTACTAGATTTTTAGGGCTTCGGMGCCACTGCGACTAGGTAGGATCTGGGAGAAGAGGCCCGCCGGACCCACCCAAAATTTCACCAATATTTTACAAATGTAGAAAGTAAATAGGTATTTATTATTAATTCAGTTACATAATATGGCCAAAATTTCAATTAAATTACTTATTGACTATTTTGTCAAACTGTGTTTTTGATATTTCTTTATCGGATTATGAAAAGCTAAAAAAGAGCCTTTTCGAGCTTTTTCACTCATAAAATAAGTCTATCAGGTTTATAATGGTACATAATTGGAAAAACTAAGTTAAAATTTTAATAAAATGATTGAATAGCTCAAAAAGGACAACATATTTTGATAATTTATTTAATTTAATTATTTTTTATTATTTATTACTATTATCACACTTCCAAAAAATTGTTTTTTAAAAACACGCATAATTCTATTATATAATATACCTACATAATACATTATATAATATAATAAATAATAATAGGAAGACATTCATCATTTTTAAAACCATTTTATAACGATATTTATTTTGGTTTTTTAACCTATTTCAAACATTATATAAAAATAATATTAAAAAGTAATAGTAATAAACAAATAACTATAAACATATAGCCAATATAAGTATATTATATTTGTTGGATATAATTTAAAATTTTTAATTAGCATTTTCTTGACTTGATAAAAAAAATACAAAATATTTCAGGGCTATTTATTGAGGTTTACATTTTGTTGTCTATTTTATTACATCATAAATGTATAATTATTGTACCTCAATTGTGATAATATTTTACATTTATCTATTTTTATCATAAATTGTGACTTCGCAGTAAAGTTCGCATACCGGTAGACGGTAGTGCGACTTCGAATTATTACGAATGTCTGCGATGATGCGACATCTTCCACGATTGTCTTGCTATCGCGTACCTATCACGGTCGTCATGTGATAACAGAGCATGTGACCACGTGAGGTTGTCCAATGTCGAAGTTCAATTGTACCGAGACGATTACTGACTACCGAGTTGACTAGGTTGTGGAGTTGAGGAAAACGCGGTCCATAATAATAAAATATAATTTTTAGTTGTTAATAATAAATTCGGGAGCGGTGTGTCTGTGTGAGGCAAGTCGACGCCGATCATTGATCAACAGTAAAATTATCGACATTGCTGATATCGTCGTCGGAAAACGGTTTAGCGCAAACGGCCAACGCACTCGCGTACGTACGTTGTATGCGCACACGCCATTCACTCGCTCGTTCGACACGTTTTTATTTATGTTTTTTAGTGTTATCGTTTCATGTAGTATAAAATTACAATAAAATTATACAATAGCGCTGATCCGGTCGGTGTGTTATTTATAATAATAGTTCCTAAACGTTTGACGACGACATCCGTCCCTCTGCAGCAACCGATTATTGTTTCTTTGGATAAGTGCGCGATCCTTTTTCTTTTGGACGGGTTAAATGTGTCGTTGATAGCCATTGTTCCAGCCACTACAGCAATAATTATTAATTACCATACTCCCATACTGTCATCGTCGTTGCGCTTTTGCTTATACGTTCTATTAATCAATTACTTGGTACTCGTACTAGTCAGTTGTCTACGAGTACTACAACACAACCATCTACAATTGTTAGTTACTAATTGCTATCATTACTACTACTTTTACTACTATTTTAATATAGTGTACCATTACTCCTACTTCTGAGGGGCACTGTATATTGTCCAAGTCTTAGGGTAGGTAAGTCCATAGTTTTAATTTAGTAGTTACTACCGTTGAAAGACAATGTCACTATTTATTGCTATTACTTGTTTTTCACCACCTTGCATGATTTTTGATTCATACTGTTTTCGAACTATTTTTATTTTTGTTGTTATTTTTTTTTTAGGTAAATTATCCTTGCTACAATGTTTGATTATTTGTAGTTGTTTTTGTTGTGTCGTAATATATTTATCAACCTATCTAATATTTTATACCCAAACACTATTACGCATAGATACTAATTCAGACAACACTTGGAAAGTTTTACTATACCGCTTTCTTTTAAATTGGCAGTTATGTATTCAGACATGATAGAGTGAGTTTCAGATTTACATTTTTCTTTTGTTCAGATTTATAATTATTTCATGTTGTAGGTCACCATCAAAGGATTGTTTCTCCTTCAATGATCAGTCTACGCCTTATGACATGGCCGAGGTATAGATTATTTTTTTCGTTTTTTTTCACATCATTGAAAAATGGAAGTTATTGTTTAATATTAAACTTTCTATTTGTTTCAGGTGAATGAAATTAGTAATCAAGCCAATTTGGATTATATTTTTGATTCATATTATTCTTCGTGAGTTATTTTGTGATTATTTAATATATATTTAATTATGTGCAGTGTATCCACTTATTTATGTGGAACACTTGTATGTTTATGATTAAAAAATTGTATTATTCTCTTATACAAGAATAATTACGCCTCATGTAAAGATAAGTAAGATGGTATATGAGACTTGTATGAGTTGAACATTCAAATTTGAAAGTCACCTAAAAATATATATATCATTGATTAGATAGTCTAACATATTCTTAATAGAGTTTATGGAAAATTGATAAAATATTGAATGTAAATATTAGATGTATTAAAATATGTAATTATTATGATTTAAATTGACCTTTTATAAATTATTTAAATTATCTTGAAAATATATTTTTCAAGGTTATATTATATATTTTAATAACACTTCAAAGTGTAGAATATTTCATGAAACATAAACAATTAGGGCCAGTTGTACCGTCTACGGTTAAACTTCGATTACGCTTAATCARCTGATAACAGATATTTAACCGTGCAAATTCGGCCGATTAAACTCCGGTTAACTTTAATCAGAGACGGTACAACTGGCCCTTAGAGTGAATGGAAATTTACAAAAAATAATTATTTGTTTAGTTTTTAAGATAAGCATATAGATAAGGTTTCACTTACTAAAGTATAGGATCTCGTTTTTAATTTCAACCATATTGATAAGAAAAATTTAGTTTCATTAAAATATAATATCAAATAAATAATGAAAAACATAAAAAATATTTATAGCAAAAAATTATGTGAATTAATTAGTAATTTAAAGTCATTAAAAACAATATGTACTTGAGTCCTGAATTGTTTTTAATTTACAAATTTATTTCGTATACAATTATTATAAATAATATAGTTATTAGTGTTATTACTATTTACTATAATATAGCCAACATTCCATAGTTTATTCAAGTATCTTACCCAGAGGCTCACTTGTATACAGTGGCACAGCTTCACTACAAAGTAGGCATACAGATAGTAGACTTGATGCCTGGTGGTGCCAGTGGTGGGATGGTTGTTGAACTGATGTGGTCATTGAAATCTGTTCTGTCGAGTATGGTTCTTCTATTGAATATATTTTGATTACATGTATCTAAATTTGGTTGATATTATTTACAAAATCTATTATTATTATATATTATATGCGTAAGCATATAGTAACTAGTGATAATTTAATAAATATATATAACAGGGTATTTGCTATAATTATTTTTTAATAAAGGGCAAATTAAAAAAAAAATATATATATATATATATATATATAACAGGGATATCCATGCAAGTATTTTCCTATTGTTTTTTGATATTTGTCTGAATTAAGTTTTAGTAATTAACTTCTATAAGCTATCCTTGAAAATGGATGATATATTGTTATTGAATGATTAAATAACATTTAGATATTATAAAAGAATAACGATGCATAAATTAAACAAACTGCTTGAAAACTAAATGATACGTTGGGGATTGGGGAGTTATATCTTGTTGAGTGGATTGGCGGTAATAATGAATTTAATTGAAATAGACTGGGGTCCTAGTCAGTGCCGTAACTAGCTTTATGTGCGCCTTTGGCAACCAATGTTATAGATTTATAATGAATTTTTAGTATTTAAATGATATAAAAATTGCGCCCCTAGTGCGTTCATTTTAAACTGCGCCCTTGGCCACTGCCCACCTTGCCAATGCCTAGATACGGCACTGGTCCTAGTTAAGTAACATAACGAAATATATATGATACAAGATGATATATATGTACTTAATTTTCTTGATTTAGTTTTAATTAAGCTGCAAGTAATGAAATTTTATTGTGGTTATTTATAACTATCATTTTTATTGTTTAGGGTATCAAGATATAATACAGGATTTGAACTTCCAGAAGACTGTAAAAATATGAGTTTTTCAGAACTATTTGATCAAGAACTGTTTAGTACTCATGGTAAATATGTTTAATACAATCTTCCATAATTGTTGAGTTGTAATAGTATATATAATAGTTTAATTTACTAAAAGCTGATATATATATATATATATATATATTTAAAAAAACATAATCATCATCATTATTTCAATAAATATTGGTTCATAAAATGTTGTTTCAGAAAATAAAGACTGTCAAATCACAATAAAAATTGAAAAAGAAGAACCGTTAAATGAATGTTATTCTGCTGAAAATTCTATAGATACTACTGATAGTCTAAATTTTGTAAAAGCAGAAGAAAATATTCCTTCTTCATCATTATCAAAAAGTTTTGCTCCGAAACGAGGCATTAATAGAACATCTATTAAAACAATAAGAACTTCTGATGTCAAGCATCTCATACATAATCCTTTTTGTGAAACAGAACAGGTAAATAATCAAATGTTGGGGTATATTAACTCATCTATTGTTAAATGTGAAGTTGAAGATGTCAATGATGTTGAAGAAAACATGGCTGTAATGGATGTCAATCCATTTTATTCTACTGATGATTTACAAAATAGCATAGGTTTGGAAAAAATTGTAGAAAATGTTTCATCTTCGTCATTAAAATTTTCTACTTCAAAGGCACAAGGAACTAACAGAATTTCCATCAAAACTCCTGATAATTCTGATGTTAAAGATATTTTTTATCCTTTTTGTGAACCTAAAGATCCTGCCAATGATCAAATTCCGGTTAAKTTTCAAACACCAATTATTAAATCGGAACCTATTGATGAAAATGAAACTATCGAAGACACCATTTTTGATCTTAATTATTTTGCTGATGATTCACAAACTACATCAAATAGTCACAATAATATTGTAAAAGTGAAAAATAGTGTCAGAAAATATGGTTCACAAAGTAAAACTAACAGTCATAATGTGGTTAAAGTTATAGATGATAGTGTTACTCCGTTGCTATTAAAAAAATCAACTTCAAAGTATGAAGATATCAATAAAATATCTTTAAAAACTACCAATAGTGTTAAGCAACCCATATATAGTAAATCAAAACATTTAGGTACTAATCAAATCTCTGTTAAAGTTCAATCACCAGTAATGAAATTTGAACCTGAAAATGTCTATGGCTCTATTGAAAAACCCATTGTTAAAAAAGAAGTAAAACCTTGTTATTCTGCCAACAGTTTGAATTGTACATCGAATATCCACAGCTTAGTAAAAGATGAAATAAGGTTATCACCTCCATTATTAAAAAATTCTACTACTAAGCATCGAGCTAACAATAAAAAGTCTATTAAAGCTACTGAAAATGGTGGCGTTAAATACATTGCAAATAACTTTCATTATGAACCGAAAAAATTAGGTAATGGACGAATTCCTATGAAACGTACAACACTTGTTATAAAATGTGAACCTGAAGATTTTAATGATACTAGTAAAGAAAATATTGAAACGGTGATAAATCACCATTCTTCTAAAGGTTTACAAAGTACTGCTGTAGGTCATAGTTTAGTGAAAATTGATCAAATTGTTTTATCTTCGGAAAATTTTGCTTCTCAACATCAAGGTCCAAATGACAGTTCTATAAAGACAACTGACAATTCAAAAAATCATTTAATATACAATCTTAATTATAAACCGAAAGATCTAAGTAATGATCTAACTTCAGTGAAGGATAAAATAACAAAACTTGAACCGGAAAATAATAAGAGCACTACTCAACCCAATTTTAAAATAAATTTAAAAACTGAAAATGAAACAAAATGCGTTAATCCAATTAAAATTCATTCTGCTGAGAACGGAAATGTTGAAGGTCGAAAAATTATCATAAAAAACATGGAAACTATTGTATCTTCAATAAAATCTGAGGATATAGATTCTCAAACTGATAAAAAAAAAATCTCGTGGGAAGAATTCAGAGCAAAAAGAGAAAAAATGGGTTTGATAAATATTTCAGGTAATATTTGTATTATATATTAATAATACATACTATATTGTATCATAATTTAAAATTTTATTACAGAGATTAAAGAAGAGCCTGCAATAGACGTTGTTGCAACAGATAATGTGAAATTGAAAGCAATGAAAGAAGAGTTTGATCGAAACACAGCTGAACATTTCATTGGTCAAAAAAGAAAGATTGATGATAAAGAAGAACAAAATACTGCTTCTAAAGAAATAAACAATGAAGATGAAGAATTGCAAAAAAAGCGGATGAAAATTGAATACATAAAGAAACTTCTACCATCATCTTTTGGTAATATTGTATTATAGATTTATTAAACTAAAGGACTACTTATTATGAAAAGCAAAATTYTACAAAATTGTTTTTTAAAATTATTATTTGGTAGATCTATACTATACATTTTATTTTTGTGATATTGTTGAATTGATTTGTCTATCCTAAACCACTTTTTAGTAACTAAAATGCTTTTTTTTATCATATTATAGAATAGAACCCCTTAAACTAACTAAAATTGTTTTGTTCTTTTAGCATCAGAAATAGCAAAGACCTCAAGCTTGATGAAGGGCAATTTAATAGAAGATAATGGTTAATTTTTTTATTTAAGTTATATACTCTTAAAATTATTTATTAAATAATTTTTGTTTTTAGATAATGATAATACTTCTGATGATTCAATGTTGTGCAATGATAAAACACAAGGAAAATATTCAAACATACATGATAAGTCCCAAAAAAAAGGCCACCAAACTAGAGTGCATTCATCTCACCGTAATTTATCAAGGTTTGAGTTAAAAATGATTTTAAATTATAAGCAATATATAAGTTAATTATAAATATTTTACCTCATTTAATTTATAAGGTCTGGTTATAATAATAGAAGTAGCCGCTCATCATCAACATCATCTAATCCAGATGATTATTATAATCGTAACAGAACTGATACTCCTTCACAAGGATCACTATATAATCAAAATGCACGAACCACTCTTCAAAGGTAATGAGGATACACATTATTGTATAATTTTATACTAGAAATTATATTCAAAATGTGTTATTACTGTACAAATTGAATTATCTAGGAACAAAGACCAGAAAAGGGTGGTATATGTTGGACAAATACCAATCAAACTTGGAAAGCGTTACTTATACAATCGGTTCAAAGAATTTGGTGCAATACAATCTTTAACACTTCACAAAAAACCAGAGTACTTATAAATAATTAGCAAAAGTTCTTTTTCCCATATTTTATATAATTTTATTTTATAGTTTTCGCGTTTATTATGCATTTGTAACATATTCTGAGAATTCAGAAGCTGACCGTGCTATCAGTCATGGAAACGATGATGAAAGTCAAGTCCAATTGGATATTAGGTTTGGCGAAAGAAAACAAACTCAAACTCCTTACTATGATTTAGGTAAGTAATATATTTTTATTAATAAACAAAAAAAATTCTGCTATTTAATGTAATTAAAAATTGTTTAGACGATGAATGGTTAACCGACTGGTATGGATACAAACAACCTTTAGCACCAATAGTGAAAACACAAACCGTTGAAAAAGTTTCTTTTGAAGAAGAATTGCAAGAATTTTATAAGCTTGCTCAAATTAAGAAGTTAAATAAAATTAAGTCTTCTCAAGCCTCTTGACATAAGTTTTTTATTTTATTTCATCTAATAGTGTTGGAATAAAAATGTAATAAATACTGTTATAATTTTTCTCTTTTTAAGTTTTTTTGTTTTATTTTACAACATAAGAACCTTGATGACAATTAATTTTTACACAAAAATAATGTGTGTATTAAAAAAAATAATAATTGATAATATCATGAAATGTTTTTTTCAGTGTTGTCTTGAACAATTTTTGCTACTTTTCGGTATTCTACGGCACTTGTTTTTGTACATTTCATTTCTGTCCAACTAATTGGGGTCATTGGATGCCCTGAAAATTACACAATATGAATTTTAACAAGTATTAAAATCATGGATCAATAAATATTCCAACCATATTCACTGCATGCAATAACTACACCAAGTTCATTTTCAGCAGTGGTTAGTTTAAAGGTATGAGCTTCAGTCATTGGCAACTGAAAATTAAATGCGAGTCAAAAATATTAATGGTGGCTAGGTATGTGATATTTAAGATGATCAGATATCCAAGACTTACTATTCTAGCTAATATTATATCTCCTGGTCTAAAACACTGTAACATATCGATTTTGTCTATTTCTTTCATGCGCACATCTTGTCTTCTTAGACTACTTCTGTACGTTTCATTCAGCTCATGTCCACAGACACTTGTAATAAGACACTTGCACATATCTTGGTTTATTGTAGTAACCTAACAAGAAATATGTTATACTTAATTGTTAAAAAAAATCATAAATTAATGTTATATTACCATTGCTGTTACAATGTCTCCAGGTGCAGGAACAATAGTCTTATCTTTACTTCGAACTTCCACTACAGATATCTAAAACATGATTAGTTTTAATCCTATTTTTATTTATTTATTAAATTCTCTTAAGAGGACGTGATACCCGCAAGTGTTGTCTCCGTCTTACAAATGTGTAACATGGTACATTTTTCGCTCAGCAGAACACGTGTAGCTCCGTTAACTTAAAAATTAGAGTGAACTGACCTCTTATAAAATTTAAAGGTAAGATTATTATCTAGACAACCTCATATGCTTTTTATTTTATATCAAATTTAAAGCGAGATATGAGTATTTTAAAATTGTACATTTTTTGTGCATCTTAAAATACTCATAACTTCCTTTAAAATTTAAATATAATAAAAAGCATATGAGGTTGGCTAGATAACAATCATACCTTTAAATTTTATGAGAGGTCAATTCACTCTAATTTTTAAGCAAAYKGAGCTACATGTGTTCTGCTGAACGTAAAATTTACTATATAATGCACTTGTAAGACAGAGACAACACATGCGGGTATCACGTCCTCTTAACTTTTATTCACCTTATTGTTTGTATTATCTACATTCACGATTCCAGCCAAACTAGAATAAATGTAATCTTGTCTTTTGTATGTCCCTTTACCTAAAGTGTGTGTCGAATCTAGTCGACAAAGCCGTTGTCCTAAATATAAACAATTCATTTAAGTAAAAAATCTATTTTGTTTTTTTCAAAACAAGTAAGTACCTTTAATATTTCAATACATAATTAATAGTTAACTAATTTCTCAGTTGGCATAATTTTACAACAAAAATATAAACTTCAAAATAGTACATAAAATAATATAGGTACTTTAAATAAAAATGTTAGTAAAATAGTGAATACAAGAAAAGTACTAGCATTAAATTAATAGTTTGTTTAAGTAGCAAAAATGAAATAGATATCAATGACAGAAAAAAAATACATATAATTGTTTAGTAACTTTTATAATAATGGGAAATACAAAATTTAAAATAAAATTGGTTTTGAACAATATTGTAACATAATTATCGGAATCATTCATAAAAGCTACGTATTTTAAATTTTAAATAATTAACATCTCATCAAAACAAAATCAAATATAAATCTCGATACAGCAACGTTTTCAAATAATTTTGAGTTTTGTGTATCATCTATGATAATCACAATGCAGCTATGCTAAGGGTTAAACATTTAATTTAAGATAAAGCTAATTAGAAAATTATAAGTGTAATACCATAGTGGTAAATGGTGAAAAATCACAAAATTTGCAATGATATGCAAATATTTTGCCATATGAATAACATAAATTTGAAATAAGAGTCAGTATACCTGTTTTCTACACTGCAAATATGATAAGTATACCCAGAATATTAGTAGTATTAACAATAATATTGTATTACCTATTGAATGGAATTCAAATATATTTTTGAAAATCAGCTATAATAAATAAATTATCTTTTATAAATCTACAAAGTAACAATTAATGTAAATATTAATAAGGGAGGTCAAAAGAATTAAGCATTATGCATTATTAGAGAAAATGTAGTTTTATAAAGATTTAAAATAAAAACTGGGTTGAACTCTGGCTTTTGGGTCCGGAGAAAAAAACGTACCCAAAAGCCAGAGTTCAACCAAAAACTGGTTTAAAAATTGTAATTTGATGGCAAAACACAAGTATATTTTAGTATATCATTAAAAACTTACCGGGCACACAAATTATTTTATTTTGCATTGTGTAATATGTAATAGAGTTGCGATGGTCGCGACTGAATGAATCAAAACGAACGAATCTGTCGAGTGAATTCGCGACCGAATGATGTATATGTATTAGCCTATTAAAAATATTCGGTCAAATAAAATATCGATCTTTAGATCTTTGGGCTGTTTTTAATGAAACTTTTCTTTTGGTTCTGATACGACAAGTGAATACTGATGGGTATTATCACTATTATCGAATTATTGGAATGGACACCTCGTCGTGCCGCTCGAAAACGACGAAAACAAACTCGAGTATAAGTGACACGAACTAAGCCACTAAGATAAACAAATAAACTGGACTGGAATGAGTCGAACGAGATAGTTATCATAGAACAGTTATCTACGGAACCACAGTGTAACCATGGAACAGTAGTTACACTGTTCTATAGTGTAACGCTTCTAGTTCAAGTGCAATTTTAACGCCATCTATGATCCATTCTAAGAAATATTAATACATCAGTGTCCGTTATTCGTTAGTTACTGTAGCATTGATTCAATATTTAATCAGTGACTGTAGGTACTACTAAGCTGTTTAAAAAATAAATATATTCGTGTAACTTGTAAGTTTTTATTAATTCTTTAACAATCTTTGCTTATAATATATCCAACTAAAATTAATTTTTTTTTAAAGTACTTAATATACACTGTATTGATTCAATTTTAAAGTATTGTTGAAAATAATTGTAAATTAAAATTTAAAAGCTATTAAGACTTAAGTAATAACTAAGTTAGCATCATACTTCTTTTTCTTTGAATTTATTTTTGTTGGTTTTTATTTTCCATATTGGAATATTGTCGCRTTCTTGTTGTGATATAATACTTGAGGATAAACATTAAAATTTCATTAAAGTAGTATACATTAAATACTAAAATGCTAATACCTAAGAGCTAATAGGTGCGTATAAATGTAATAAAATTAAACTATTGTAATTATAAATAGAAATAATATGCAAATAAATATATGTGTAACAAATGCTAAATATTATAAATAGATAGAGCCACATTTGTCCATGTACTGCAAGCGTTCCGGCTACCCGCACTCCTCCCGTCCATCGTTTCCAGTCCTGTTTATCTTAGTTCGTGGGTAGTGACTAGTGATGACTAATCGCAGAATCGTTTCGCCATCTTTTACCCAGTCATGACACCGGCAGACGACGACATATTATAAAAATACATATACAGCACGGTTTAATAATTAATTTTAATAATATACAATTATCTATGTTTAGTGATATATTGACATTTGTTATAACGCACTCTACCGATGAATTATTATAAAAGAACCTTTAAGATTTTAATTTTTTTGGTGGGAAATTATTTCCCACTGCCCTATGGTGTGTTTACATTTTTAAAATATCTGCCTCACCTATCATACGGTTCACGAGCCGCCACTGGTTTAATATATCTTAATATATATCTTAAACCGTTATATACAGCCACGAACAGTCTGTCAACGTCCTTACGGACCAAATCAGTAGAAGAATTCGATTCAAATGATTCGGATCGTTCAAATTACCGGAAATTCCCACCTCTAATTTGTTAGCAGTATTATTAACAATATTAACCAATGTAAATATAAGTCAACTGAATAAATGAACATCAGGAACTAAGAAGATCTTCTTAGTTCATGATGAACACTGAAAAGTGAAAGACTGAAACTAGATTTATAGTAGTAGACTCTGCTGCATTTCAGTCTGTGCCTCTGTAGTCTAGAATCTAGATTAATAATAAGAACAGCAAATTTGGCCGGCCACAGCTTATCAAAACGTGCCAAAAAAGGCGAAATAATAAATGGCCACTACTCTACTGTGCTTAGTCCATGTCTGTAACAATTTTAAATAGGTACAATAAGTAGGTACGTAGGTATACTATCTGTCAAGATGCCTTATTGGTTTTTGTAATGAATATCAATATTTAAACATAACCTATTTTATCTATTTAGTAGATTTTTAAATAAAAYATTAATAAATACGCATGAAAAATTAATTCATTTAATGGTTCAATGAAATTTAATGAACTAATCATGTGCCATTAAATTATGTTTAATTGACCAATGGATCATAAGTTCACTATTGATTCATTAAATGTTTAGTGATCGTTCATGCAGCCTGGCAATTATAAAATATTTATTTAATATTAAATTGTTGTCAAAACTGTAGTCTGCAATAGCTCTGAAAATATGTATCAATGTTTTCAAATCAATTTAAAAATAATTCGTTTCTTTATACATTTGTGGTATTTAATATTATTTTAATTGATTGCTTGTGTGTTCTAAACATTTTTATTCATTTGTAGTTGACAATGTTGACATATTTAATTTACTATCCAAATCCAAGGGCGTAATCAAGGGGAATTAGGGGGATAGATCCCCAAAGCCTTTATAATATAAAGATTTATAAATATTTAATATTACGTTATAAATAATAATAATAATATTATAGGCGTGTCTACGGGGGAGGCAGGGTGGGTCCCGACCACCCCGGTGACTTGATTCTTAGCCTCTTGGCGTATAATCTACCGTGTTTGAAACATAGATTTCTATATTATAGTGTTAGTAGTGCTATATAATTTCCATACAAAAATAAAAAGTTACAAATATAGATTATAAAATACAGATCGTTGTAGTAAGTAAAAAATTTAAATTTTTTAAATGGCCTCTCCAGCCATGGAGGCCTGGACACGCCTATGATTTATTTATTAAATTGTTGCTTGTGGGATTATGTGCTGACGATAAAATATAGGTACTTTAAATATTTTTGATAAATTAGTAATCCCAGCAGGTAGCTACCTACCAGTCACATACTGTTCTTGAAAATTCAGTAATCTATGTGTAAACTAATTCTAATCTCCCCTCTCCTCCTGGACAAATTCCTAATGAAGCCACTGTCTTAATTCAATATTACAAACAATAAATAGTTCATATTATTGTTCATAAATAGGTAGAATAGGTATTTAAATTGGTTAAATTAAATAACTTACGTACCTATATAGTATAGGTAGGTACCTACTTACTCGAAAATATTAGTTAAATATTTATGAAATGCCGAATAATAATAATTTATATTTTTCTTTTACATTTTATATAATTACCTAATTATTTTTTAATTCATAGGACTTATGTMTAGCTTACAATATTCAAAAAATTATATTAATTAACTTAATAACAGTTATGTACTTAGGTATACAATAAATATAAATTATATAAATTATAATATAATTGAATACGCTATTATACACTACAAGTAGATAAATAATCATAGTAGACAATAGACAGTAGTACCTAGTAAAAATGCAATTCAATTATTTAAGTGATATAATGAAACTATAAAATAAACAGAAATAAAAAAATACAATTTACATAAATTGAAAAAATGCGATTAGAAATATAAAATAATTTTTTAATAGTGGCATTTTAGTAGCGTAGACAGGAATTATCCTTTGGGTGGAGGGGAGTTTTTTTTAAATACCGTACCTATACTATCTTTATTATATATAATATATATTTAACATATATTGGTACCTACCGTAAAATGTAAATACATAAACTCAGTATCTCGCAAGTCTGAGTAAAGGTGCCATGTTATTAACATCCCCTCCTCCCCTTCCGGCAATCATACTCTTTCATTGCGCAGCATCGCACCTCTGAATCATTCAATCATTAAATACATGCACATTTGCATTATAGATTCCCAAATAAAACTCATCAGAACACAATAATTTTTGAACATCTAGAATAATCAAAAAAGTAATGGAACATTGACGGATTAATACTAGAACAATAATTGGTGTCTTTGCAGAATGCAGGGTATATGGTATATGGACTAAGATATTATATTATATGTACCTACATCGCACGTACGTTTTTTGAAAACTGTATTTCGAATTATGGAAACGGACGTAGGAGGATGAGTTGACCCTATAACAAAATCGTTTAGCGAGAAAGCTGTTAGCTGTAAGTATATATATTGGTTTTACGACCGCGGGTTTTCTATTTTATTTTTTTGTG